AACCTTCCGATGGCGTCGGTGATGACAGCCCATCTAAAATGGGAGACGAATGACGTCAACTTAAACAAGCATATATATATATATACATATACATACATTTCAATCGGTTATCAGTCACGTACATCTATCGAGGTTTCACAGTTCAACTATTTTTCAAGCCATTTAGGTATATGTAAGTATGTTCTCTCACCCTTACATACAAGCAAGGCACCATTACTCCTCCTGCCAATGTATGCATCCACACACACACACACAACACGGAATGTGACGTTATCACTTGTGCAATGTTGAGGCGCCTATGGTAGAGCATGTTTTTGGTGGCTTTTTCGATCATTTAAAACAACTTAGTCCCTTCAATAAATTTCGATAGGACTATTAGAAATCATTTCTCCTTTCTTTCTTTCTTTCTTTCTCAAAGAAACAATCTGTAATAATGCTAAACCAAGTGCTTTCAACTGGCTCGATGAGTCACACACTCGGCCTGATAAAGAACATTGACGAACATTGACCAGATATGTTCACTCATACCAGTTCAACTAAACTTTGTACACCCGTTTGATTGAATAAAAGCATACTGTAAATAAGGTGGGTTTTCCTTTTATGGAAAAGATGCCGTTGTCAACAAATCCTCTCCTCCTCTGAGAAATGCAGGGCGACACTGCTGCACCACAACTCACAATTAACAATGTGTCTAACCAAAGGGAACAGAGGATCTCAATGAAAAATTGCTAACACGGTGAATTGTGAAACACGGTGATTACATAAACATTACATATGGCACAACTATTACTTCCTTTAAGTTTAAAACAGGTGTGTAAGTCTGTTATAGACTGATGACCCCCCCCCCACTCTATAGGGTGAGGTCAGTAATGAACTATTTCAGAACCATTCGTTGTCTGTTGGATCAAAATTTTCGCCTGACTTATAAGAAGAGATCTGCCTTCACCCCATCTTCAATGTCTATTGTAACAGTGTCACGCATACTAAATCAATGCACCGTAGCACAGATTCCTCTACAACCCGCCGCCTCCTCCTCACTTTGTGTTTCACACGTTGAGACAATAACAACCCATAGTCTAATCTTACTATCATGGTCATTCCTATTAGTATACACTTATTCTTCAAAAGCCTAATGATTGGAATGGATGGATACTTCTAATCTCATCTCCCATACTTCTAGTTAGTGAGTTAAGTGAAGCGCGTTCATAAAATACTCAATGAATGAACGATCCAGTTCCAGACTGATTAAACTGTCATTACAAATAAACGGTGTTTTTATTTTCAAATTCAGATAACACACATGCTCTCTTCTCACACACACACAAATCTGTTTCCGATCGCCTCAAAAAACAACACAATGCCAGAGTCACTATGGTCATTAATAATGGTCAATCAATCTACGGAAGACAAACAAACTGCAACCAACCACCACAGTGTGTGTAAACGTCAGTATAACCACAATATGAACTAATTGATTGACCTTAGCAGCAGCAACAACAGACTTTTATTTGTGTGGAGGAGAACAATCAACTTACTGGTAATTCTGTGCGTATTCAATGGCTCAGGTAAACGCATAGAATCTTGGTTAGGGACCTCGTCAAATAGGTCTTCTGTGGTGCGACCCAAAGATTTTCCTCCACGGTTCTGTAAAATGTTAATGACATTTATGTCAATTACTAAAATCAACTAATTATCATTTCTAAAGCAACTTTAGGATAAAACAAGGAATTTAAAACAACAACAACAACAACAATTCTAACTTTAACAGATGACAATTTACATTTTGTAACAGAACAAAAGTAAAACAGGAGAGAAGTGCGCTGTGCAATAAATAAACACCATGTGGAAGTCAGTCAGTCAGTCGGGTATTTCACTGACAATAGAGATAACAACAAGCCAAGACCTTATGGAGGACTTGGGCTATACACCCCAGAAAAGTTAGCAGTAATGCAGATTTATTATGTGGCTTAATGTTGACTTAGAATTGAATTGGTGGATGGTGACTAGCAGTGGAATCCAGTCCAGGATAACGCCCATTTCGTCCTATTTGCAACTCGTCAGTTGGCTGGATGTACCTGCATTTCCCAGTGAGTCAGTGATGATGTTCCCACCACGGAGGCTAAAAACCCAATGCCCATAGTTTCAAACACCAGCCAAAGCGTTATCCACTAGACGACTTGGGCCACGAGAGCCACCCCACCTCTTGTGCAACGGTTCATATTAATTATTCAATTGAATTTTAGATTTTCCCGTTGACACTTTGGCGTTTGAAACTATGGGCACTGGGTCAGAGCCTCCGTGGTGGGAACATCATCACTGACTCACTGAGGAATGCAGGTACATCCAGCAAACTGACGAGTTGCAAATAGGACGAAATACGCGTTATCCTGGACTGGATTCTACTGCTAGTCAACATCCACCAATTAAATTTTAATTAAACGCTCTTAATACATTCACTTTATCCTACTTCAAAACTATGGTGGAGATATGTGGATGACACTTTCACACACAGTGTTAAAAACACAACATATCTCCCTCTAGCTTCTTGACACATATAAACTCACTAGCAGAGGGAATAAAATTCACATTTGAATCGCAAAATAAACAAGGAGAATTAGCTGTGATGTTAGAGTGTAAAATAAAACGAATAGAAGAGGCTAAACTGCACACAAGTGTTTATAAAACACCAACGCATTCTGCTGATAAACTTTAATTCATCTCATCCGTAGTTATCTGTTAAGGCAGGCTTAGTTGACTTAAATGTCTAACAAACCGAGCAGTAGCACCAACTAGTACAAGAAAAGACCTAAATGATGAAATAAAACAGACAGAAGAAGAAGAAGTAGCGTTGGTGTCAAATAACTAACTATCCTATGAAATTCACTAGGAAGATCAGAAAAAGTGAAAAGCAAAATAAAAATAGTAGGGAAACTAATAATGATAACATAAATAAGAGAGAATATAAGGCATCTACAGCAGTTTTACCATATAAGCAGGGGACTTCTCAGACATTCCCTACGTAGGATTCTCAATAGAGCAGGAATTAGAGTGGTGGCATTCAAACCTACAAACTCACTCAGCTAGGACAAGCTCTGTAGGTTAAAGGACCCTGTCGGTTGACCCTATTAGACAAAATAATATAATTTACAAAATACTCTGCAATGACTGTGAGTTAGGTCAACTACATAAGTCAAACTAGTAGATCGGGGGTAATCAGATTGTCGGAACATAAGAATTTAGCTAAGGGAAGAATGGTTGACCCCACCCGAGAAGACAAGTAATTTAGGAAAAAGTTCAGTACTACATTGCACTGCATGCATTAACACAACCATACAATGGCATGGTGTGAGAGGGTTGGAATTCTAAAAAGTAATCTAGGTAAGTGGAGAGAGAGATCTATTAGTGAATCCTGCCTGGTTCGTCGAGTCTACACCCAACCTCTTTCTCTCTATCCACCTACATAGATTACTTTTTAGAACTTTTTTTAACAAAACAAATATGGAAGACATCATTACCACCAGTCAGTCAAATCAGAGCAGCATAATAAATGATCTTAAAATTCTAATTCAATTGAACTTCATCACAGCATTCTAACAAGTTACTTATTTTGACTATAAAAACACTCCTCTTATTTCCCATCTGATTGCACTTGATTGATAACACTCATATTATTATTATTTCTGAATGTAAATTATCCTATATTACTGATTTGTATGCAAATGTCTAATCCTGAATTCCACACATGTATATAAATGAAGGGTCTCTAATTCCCATCTCCTTTGTTCACTAAAACAACTGGATAGTTATACGGGCTGTCAGCTTCTTTTTCTCTAATACCATCCTGCAAAGTCTCCTCAATTTAAATGTCTCTCTACCTCACACCCATAAATATCACCTCCACGATTTCACGAGTAGTTGAATCGATTGAAAACAATCAAATCAGTCAGTATTTACTCCCTAATAACACATTTAGGCTTAAGCATTTCAAACAAAGAGTACTCGGTACCAGTCACAATGACAACACCACACACAACCACTCACAGGAGATTATTGCAGGTACATCCCGTTGGCAACTCCCGTACCAAAATCATTCAAGTGCCATCCATCAAATTACACACTTTTAAGTCCGGATAATCTTCACCTCTACATACACTCACTACCCAGTAATTAACCTCATCCATCCATCCTCTCTAGGATTATAATATTATCCTACCTGCGAATGAATCTTCAGAATACATTCATTCGATAAAACAAACATATTATCTATCTTCAATCTGATTTCACCCACCCTACTCATCACCGGTTGGTTGCGTAAAACTTCGTGATATGTACAGCGGCGGAAAAAGGGAAACAAACCAGAACTTACAATTTCATCACCTTCCAGTCTTCCTGCCAGATCATTATTATCATTGACTCTGATACAGTCTGACTTGACGCGTTTTCTGGGATTCCCCGGTATAATCCAGTCTACGCCGAAATCTTTCGGCTTTCGTCTCCGCTTCCTGTTCTCTTCACTATTTGACAGGCCCACCTATACGGAGAAAAAGCAATCACAATCAAAGAAAGCACAAAAACATACATCCTACAACTGAATTCGCATGGAAATAACGAAAAGGATTAGAATATCATCTAAGTAGAGTAGTGCAGTTGCGCACAAGATGAAAACTTATACGAAAGAGCTGATTGCCAGTCAATGAGTTTCAACACAAAACTTTGCACAGAAGTGGAGCGGTTCAAGTTGACAAACTCCACGTAGTATACAAAAATAGACAACCTAACCTAGACAGAGAAAAGACTCTCAAAAGCAGAAATGTACGGGAGAAAGACAAGGGAGGAACATGGAGTAACTAGGGGTTTAATCTGCGCGTCGGGACATCAAATCACTAAGAGTGCCTGTGCATCTGTGCCACTCACCACGATATCCAGTCAAATCACCAATAGTCTCCAAACACCCCAACCAACCAGCCAGCCAGCCAGCCTACGCTCACAACTACACCTACACCTACCCCCTATGTGGCTCAAAACAACTCTCAAGGACTTCAGTGCTTGATTCCACGTTTTCACCTGGTCTGATTAACTCCTTTCCAACTCCAACTCTACTTCAGTCAGCTAACATTCCTCGGATGAACTTAAGGATCACTTCGACGGGAAACTGTCCAATGTGCTGCAGAAAGCAAAACGACGTTCAGATATAGTTGTTTTAGCAGGCAACTTCAATGCCCACCCAAGTAGGGAAGTTATGCCAGACTGAGAAGTATATAGGTGGTACATACGGAGTTCACTACCGACGAACCAACAACGGCGGTGATTGTCTTCTACAGTTCTCCTCAGATAGTCATCTGTTTGTTCCCAGTCACCAACAACTCTAGGCACAAACAGAGACACATTGTCTAACCTGGTGACCTCCATCACCAAATCAACATTGGACTCAAATAGACCACATAGCGATAAGGTATCGTTGGAGAGGGTCGGTAGAAGACTGCCACTCCCTCTGGAACATGTGCGCAGACTCTCATCACGCCCTGCCATGGTTCGCGCACGTTTATGCGGTTAAACGGACATAAAAAATTGTTGGCAGAGAAACAGTTACGTCTTCAACTAGATCGAGACACTAAGTCCCTATTTAAGTAATACGGATAGCGAAAAGAGTACCCGAGGTCGACAGCAGGACTCCTCCTGACGAAGCCTGGAACAACATATAGTTAGTTAGCTGTACACACAGATGTCAAAGCTGACAATAACCTAAAACCCAAGGTCAGTAAGACCCATTGGATTTCTACCACCTCATCCGAACTGACTTACTGACTGACTGACACAGAAACATTCATTCCGACGAGCTCCAAATATGATGAGGAGCAAAAGCTGCTGCTCAAGCACAAACTAACAAGAAGTTTTCGCAACGACCGTGAACAGTCGTGCTCAACAAAAGCGACGGAAGGAGATGGAAAAGGCTTCGGCGATTTGTAGCGCAAGACAACAATTTAGACTTATCACAGAAGCAGGTGGCTAAAGGCAAATCATAAGTGGAACAATCTATGACGAAAATGGCACCATAATTAGCTCCCAAGATAGACGACTCGGATGGTGGAAAGAACACTTTAAGCAGGAATTTAGAGAACAATTGTGGTTTCAATAAATTCTTCAGGCTCTACAATTATAAATCCATTAACTTAAGCATACAATAGCCAGCCAGTAAAGACAAGTTAGAATCATATCCGCTTATTTCACCTCTCGTTTGTATCAGCGGGACCACGGCTCTCAGTGACAGTATATGGCCCTTTCCACTTCGGAAGGAGTTTCCATGAACATGGTCTGCATCCAACTGTATACTTTCTTCCTCTACACACTTTACTTCATCGCCGACCTTAAGGCTTATGCATCCTATCTTTTCTCCCAGCTCAGATTTCGCGGCGTCTATCTTCTCTTTACGCTTTACATTCCTGACGGCTTCTTTCCGTTCCGTTCGCAACCACCTCATCATATTCCACTCCTGGTGAACGAAACAGGTAGTACTGTGTATTGGCAGTCTTGCATTCCTACAAAACATCAAATCAAATGGTGACTTCTTTGTTGGTTCCTGGTTGGATAGAAGCACGACGTGCTAGTAAAATCAATGGAAGGAAGATCCGACTCCCAGTTACCACTCTTCGAGGTCAACCACTCCTTCAGTGTACGGTTATTTCTCTCTGTCAAACCATTCGTTTCTGAATGATGATATGGTCTTGTTCTGGTCATCTTGATAGTCAGTTGTTACAAACGGGATGTATATGCGCTTGGCTTTCAAAACAAGGACACTGATCTACCTGCCAGTCAGTATCGTCTTTGGTACACCGTGGTCTGCAACGATGTGTCCAACTACTGCATCAGTCACAGTTCTCGCGCGTTCACCTCGGATCACGGTGGCGTTTACCCATCGTGTAGCGTGTTGCTCCATCACCAGGAGGTACTGATTGCCACTGGGTGTCTGCGGAAACGGACCCACTACGTCTACACACCAGAAGTCGCCTACTGCCGTGAATGGAATCGACTACAGAGGCGGTCGTGTGCACCGATCTTCCTTCATCAACTGGCACTGCGGACATTCAAGTACATATTTCCCCACATCTTCTATCACATCTGGCCAGTACATGCTTTGTCTCAAGAGGTCAGTTGTTCTGGCTACTTCTATATCTGCTGGCTGGTGACATTCTTGTATCACCTCATGGCGTGGAGACTGAGGTATTATCGCCAACCAGCTTCCATCGTTCTCTCGCCAAGTTACAGTTCTGTGAATGTTCACTCCTAATCGATCCCTCTGTCTCAGTAGTATAGCCGGATCCTTACTCGCCGTAGAAGTTGATTCACTTCTATTCCGTTAGTGATCTCCCGTATTACTGTATTCAGGGTAGTGTCCGACTTGTGACTGATAGCATGTCTGAATGCATCTTGTTACAATGCATCCACTCCATAAGCAATCTCCGGTAACTCAGCTTCGTCATCTCGTCTAGATAAGAAATCGGCCAAACAAGTTCCGTTGCTGGGGACGTGTGAGATGATGAAGTCATAATTTCGCAGGCTCAACATCCACCTGGACAAGTCCCCACGTGGGCCTTCCGCCATCCTCAGAAAATCTAGCGACTTGTGATCACTTTAGATGTGCAACTGTTGGCCGAGTCAATACGGTCTCCATTTCACTATGGATAAAATTTCATTTTGATAAAGTCACACAGTGTTATACAGTAATATATACTGATGACGTTTCGAGCACAATTTATTCCTCATAATCATATCAGTGCCCGAGTTTCATCCTTATAACGGTCTGCATTTGTCTACCGCCCATACATACTATTGCTAAACATTCTTTCTCTATCGTTGAATACTTTTGCTCTGTGTGTTAAAATACCACTGACATATTCGACAACTGCTTCACCCTGTCCAAGTACTACGCCTTTCCCATAGTCACTCGCATCTGTGTACACTGTGAACTGTTTTCCCGATACAGGCAGTCTTAGCGTCATTTTCCTGTCGTTTAACAGACGTTTAATACTGTCAAATGTCTTCTGCGAATCTTCCGACCACACAAACTTCAACTCATCATCTAATAGTCTGTACACCGGGTCTGCTATCTTGTTGAAGTTTGCACAAATCGACTATAAAATGCAGCTCTCCCGACGAACTGTCCTAGCATTCTCTTGGAATCCGGGCCCGTAATGGTCTTTATCGACAAGATTTTCTCCGCTAGCGGTTTTATCTCACCGTTCCCCACTCCTCTATCACCCAACACGGTAACACTCCGTTTGGCTATCTGAGATTTTGTCCTGTCGGTGAGCAGTCCAAACTCTTCAATGACTTTTAACACGGCTTCAACATGGCTTACATGATCGCTTTCGTTTTGACTGCAGATGAACAGGTCATCACCGTACACCTCCACATTCTTCAACTTTCTGATCAACAACCTAACGACTCCTCTGAAGGCAAACAGTACACCTGCTAGTCGTCCAAATACCATGTGTTTAAACCGATATTCTTTCTGACCCATGCGATGAACGCCGTCTTATCTCTGTCGCTCTGCTTTATCCGTATCTGACAATATCGTGACCGGAGGTCAAGCACTGTGAAAATTCGCGCCTTGTATACAATACACGCTATCTACTACAGCTGGCATGCCACACACGGTCTCAGCTCTGTCATGCTGTTTAGCTATCAGAAATCCATGCAGGGTCTCTAATTCCCATCTCCTTTGTTCACTAAAACAACTGGATAGTTATACGGGCTGTCAGCTTCTTTTTCTCTAATACCATCCTGCAAAGTCTCCTCAATTTAAATGTCTCTCTACCTCACACCCATAAATATCACCTCCACGATTTCACGAGTAGTTGAATCGATTGAAAACAATCAAATCAGTCAGTATTTACTCCCTAATAACACATTTAGGCTTAAGCATTTCAAACAAAGAGTACTCGGTACCAGTCACAATGACAACACCACACACAACTACTCACAGGAGATTATTGCAGGTACATCCCGTTGGCAACTCCCGTACCAAAAACATTCAAGTGCCATCCATCAAATTACACACTTTTAAGTCCGGATAATCTTCACCTCTACATACACTCACTACCCAGTAATTAACCTCATCCATCCATCCTCTCTAGGATTATAATATTATCCTACCTGCGAATGAATCTTCAGAATACATTCATTCGATAAAACAAACATATTATCTATCTTCAATCTGATTTCACCCACCCTACTCATCACCGGTTGGTTGCGTAAAACTTCGTAATATGTACAGCGGCGGAAAAAGGGAAACAAACCAGAACTTACAATTTCATCTGTGGGGGGGAGTTGCCTTGCTGTCTCTTCATTAATGTCATTAGGTCTGACCTGAAAAAAGGAAAGAGACGAAGAAGATGCAAACGTCAGTACCCAGGGATCATCATTACAAATTCAGACAGCTTCGATAGTCTCCACGAGTAAGCATTTGCCGAGTGACACTGAACAACCAATCATGGTAAAGCTAGTATATATTCTATGCCAAACTTTCTCTTCACATACTTCAAAACATTATAAATATCTAAATTCCGTACAACTGCAAAACTGTTAAACCTATTTCTATAAAATACAAAATAAATGAGCCAGAAAAGAATATCCTTTTCGATAACTTCCTCCTCTTCTCGCTCTACAGTTATACATATATATGCATGTTTATTTATATACATAGAATATTCTAGATTAGTAGTCAGTAACAATATTAGTGTTTTTTAAATAATGTCGATTTGCAAAGTAAGATCACAATGGAATCACCACAGTTCATTAAAGATGCTTTAATAATAATAATAATAATAACAAAGATATAGTTGCAAATAGAATATCAACTAAAATTAGGAAAATTCCACTGCCTCCACAGGCCAGTTACATAGGCTGTACAATTAGGCGTGTTTCTCGTCGAATTTACGAACATCACCCTGCATAGTGAGTGGTTAAGCAAAGGACAAACAAAATCTATTCGCAGCGCTATTCTATCTCATCTTGTGGATACAGAACACAAGACTGATTGATGTTAACCATGCTTTCAGGGTAATTTACCGCATACCTACGAACCTCAATTTCGCCTTAAGAGTTCCACTGCTAAATATCCCCGAGGCTGGCCAATGGATCCAGAATAACAAGCCTAATTTGTGCATCCAAAAGAAGTTGGTTGGTTCAGACATTATCCTTACCGCTTGGCTATCCAGGTTTGAATGATCCTGAATTTTAGTTGATATTCTATTTGCTACTACATCTTTGTTATAATAATAATAATAATAGTTATTATTATTATTATTATTATTATTATTATTATTATTTAAGCATCTTTAATCAACTGTGGTGATTCCATTGTGATCTTACTTTACAAATCGACATTATTTAAAAAGCACTCTTATACTGTTACTGACTACTAATTTAGAATATTCTGTGTATATAAACATGCAGATATATTTGTAGAGCCGGAAGAGGAATTTATCGAAGCGAATATTCTTTGCTCGATTATTTCGTGTTTCATAGATGTCTGAATGAATATTTTTGCTATATTGAAATCTATTTCTAGTTAACCGCAGCACTAGACAAAGCAGTGTTTTACCGCTATTTCCAATATGCTTGTGACCATCTCAAGTTC